CCCCGGCCGCGGGAGGGCGGGGGAGGGCCCGGCGCGAGCCGGCCGGGGAGTGCGCGGGGCGCGAGCTCCGGGCTCGCGGGCGGAGCGGGGCGCGGCGCGGCGCGGGACTGCGGAGCCCGGCCACACGCCTGCTCCCGCTCGCCACCGCCGGGAACCGCTGTGGGCTCTAACTCTAGCTTAGAGCCGCGGCTTGCAGCCTGCGCTGAAAGTCCGATTATGAAAGGGAAAGTGGCCCTTTCAACTCCTGGCTCCGAGGCCGGGAGCTTTTGTTTGGGAAGAATTGCAAAGGGCATTATCCTCTCCCCACCTCCCGGGCCGAAAAGAATGAGAGCGTGGCTTGGAGAGGCTCTGAAGGCTCCTTGGGTCTTGCACTTCATTGCCTTTCTCCCCATCCTCAAATTGCGAGCTTTGGACTGGGAAGTCGTGCCACCGCCATTGTCGTGGCTGTTCGGGGATAGGGGAAGCGGCTGCCTTTGCTTATGTAAGTTTGGCTTTGCAGGAGTCCCCTGCTCCTTGCTCTGACGGAGGCTGGGCGCACCAGCGATTTGAAGAACCGTAGTGAAGGGGCCGCTTTGTTATGGAGGTGTAGTTGAGGCTACATCTTGCAAATCACTTACACAGATACTGGCAACGGGTATCTTCCAATTTGACTCACCTGAACTTAGCAATTGGAATAGCTCAGTAGAAAAAAGGTCTCAGAGATCTTGAGAGAAAGTGGAGGACAACACCCTGGCCTGAAAAAAAATCAGCACACTGGTGTGTATGGCCACTCCTCCTCCTACTCCATGCACTTTTATCCCACAAGGGACAGTTACTGACGACAGTAGGAAGTGACCAAATAGGAAGGTTTTGCCTGGCTGTCTTTCTAACAGACCAGGTTGCATTTAGGGAACCGATTGGGAAGCATCCTTAGAAATAATTTTGCCCAACCCTCACACTTGACAGATGAGAAAAACCCCTGCTACTTTAGACAGCTGATTGGTGTGTTCCATTTTCTGTAGAGAAACCTTTTGATAGTTTTCAGGACCATGGTCTCTAGGTTCGAGATTTGCATCACAGTTTTTGGGTAAGACTATTGCATCCCAACCCCTTGGTCCTAACCACAGTAAAGTTTATTTATGTGGTCACTGTTCAGTAGAGGAAACTTTTTGATGAAGTCCCTCTGTTAAGAGTTAAGACTCACATAAAGCTAGACTTTTTGGAGCTTTCCTCTAGGGATAGAGGAGAAAACACCTGGATCTCCCAAATGCAGGTTTAAAGTGTAGCTTACAAGATGTGTGCTACATAAGAGTGGAAAGAAGAAAGCTACTATTTCCTTCCTCCAATGTTAACTCTCTATATTCTCTCTATTGGCCTAGAGAAAAGTGTGGAGAGCTATATACCCAGCAGGATATGGGGGGCACTTTCTGGCTTTTTCCGTATCTGTAGCTGTGAACACCTGTGCAAATACAGACATGGGCTTTGTTTGTGAGGAGAAATGCCTTAAGTGGTTCTCCAATGCAACCTTCCGATTCCCTCTGCACAGCCCCTTCATGCCCCAAATGCTGCAGTCCTTACTTGTTCTCCTTCATGTCTGTTCAGAGCTGGACCTGATGCTGCCAGCCACCCTCCTCTCTGTTCCCAACCTGAAAATGGGTACATGTGCAAGTGGCAAGACAAAAAAGGAAAGTTCATTTTTAAAATCAATTCTTGAAAACATTCTTGTTTAGAATTTGGGATAGAGAAAGATCCTACCTTACTCTCGTGTGTCCTTTTCTCTTGTAGGACTGGCGTGCCCCTGATCAGTAATTCTGATCTGAAGAATCTGGTGTCTCAAGCATTAAGACAATAGCCTGAGTTGTTCATGGTAACTATAACTTTAAGTATTACATCTTGAAAATATGGTTTGGTGTTTGCTTTAAACAGTGTGTGTGTGTGTGTGTGTGTGTGTGTGTGTGTGTGTGTGTGTGTAATGTGATAAAAATATGGTGAATGTTTAAATTTAAAAAAAATTATTACAGTAAAATATACATTGCCATTAATCCCCTTTAAGATACTCCCCCTTGCTTCGAACACACTTATCCCATCATTCTTCCCACTTTCTGAAGCAGTTCTGGAAGTCCTCTTTTGTGAATGTCTTTAGTTGTGCTGTTGTGGCTGCCTCAATGTCCTGAATCAATTCAAAACGTTTTCCTTTCATGGTTGCTTTTACTTTGGGGAAGAGCCAGAAGTCACACGGTGCCAGATCCGATGAATAAGGTGGATGAGGATACACTGTAATGTTTTTATTTGACAGAAATTGCTGTACCAGAAGTGATGTATAATGTGGAATGTTGTCATGATGGAGGATAAAGTAAAGACACACAAAAGAGTACTTTCAGAACTGCTTCAGAAAGTGTCAAGAACGGTGGGATAAATGTGTTCAAAGCGAGGGGGAGTATTTTGTGGGGGATTAATGGCAATGTGTCTTTTACTATAATAAATTTTTTAAAATTTAAACATTTAACATATCTTTTGATCACACATCATATATACACACATATATCTCTTTATTAATTTCAGGTGTACAAAATAACAATGATTAGACATTTATACCCCTCAGAAAGTGATAACCCCCCCAAATCTAAGTTCTCTGATATGATACAAAGCTATTACAATACCACTGACTATATTCCCTATGCTGTACTTTACATACCGTGACTATATATATATGTTTAATTTTGGTTGATATTCAATATTATTCTACATCAGCTTCAGATGTACAGCACAGTGGTCAGGCATCTACACAATCTGTGAAGTGACCCCCCAATAAGTCCAGTACTACCTATCTGACACCCTATATAATCACTACAACATTATTGATTATATTTCCCATACTGTATTTCACATTCCCATGACTATTTTGTGACTACAAATTTATACTTTCTAATCCCTTTACCTTCTCTCCCATCCCCCAACCTCCCTCCCATCTAGCAACCATCAGTTTTTTTCTCTATCTCTGAGTCTATTTCTGTTCTGTTTTCTCGTTTATTGTTTAAGTTTCACATATAAGTGAGGTCATGTGGTATTTTTTTTTCTCAGTCTTACTTACACATATATCTCAATTATGCATTAGCACTTCTGTTTCTCTGGAGGATATGTATATTTTCCTCATTTATATTTTGTTGAATAAAAGGAAAATGTTGTTTTTGAAAGGAAAACATATAGAAGACATTATTTTTAAAAGATCAGTTTCTTTAATATTGTGACAGATGTCTTCCATGCCAGTTATAAATTCCTCTTGTTTATAAAATACTTGCAGCACTTTTCAAATATTCCAATCTTGATGACATTTTTGTCTGGATGGCAGATAGATTGGCATCCAGAGGGAATGAAACTGCTCATCACTGTCTTTTCAAAAGTCATCTGATTCTCTGAGGGTCGTATTAAACCTTAACCCTCATTCAGAAGTGGCCCAAAACTGGTGTGGAAAAACTAGAAGACAGCATCAAATGTAATATTTTGGCAGTGATATCCCTTTCTAGTTCTGCAACAGTGATTTGTCACTTCTGTCTAGGAAGTAGAACACTGAACGTTATTAGTTATTTTACTGAGTCTTCCTCTACATGAAATTAGAGTAGACGCAACAGGACTGGTGGTCCTCAAACCTGTTTCTTAAACCTTGAAGCTGAGTTTCTTGTCATTATTACCTCTAGTCATCAGGAAGCACAGGTTTTGTAGCTAAATTGGCTGGATTTGAGTCCTAGCTCTTCACTTAATAACTAGACCAGGGGTCTGCAAACTGCTGCTCATGAGCCACATGCAGCTCTTTGGGTACGTACATGTGTGAATTTTTCTTATTTTAATAAAGATATAATTAATACTATTACTTGTTATAATATTACTTTAAATTTTCCTTATTTATAAAAATATATTTATGGCTCTCAAATAATTTTTAAATTGTTGTGAATGACAGGATTAGCTCTTCCATCTCAAAAGTTTGCCAACCCCTGAACTAGACTATTGGGCAGGTTCCCAACCTCATCTATGAAATGGGTATAGTAATACCTCTCATAGGATTATTTGATCATTACATTTGTGAAGACATGTAAAGCACATAGAACAATACTTGGCACATATTATGTGCTGGTTATAAAAGTTAGTTATCATTATAACTAGACAAATACTCAGTAAACTGAAGGTAAATAGAAGTAACAATATGGAAATCCCTAAGTTGGGATTAGTCTTTTCTACTCATATTCTTGAGCTGCTCTGATCAATGACTTTCTGAAATTGTTAGGTACCAAAAATTGATCAGAAAATGAAAATCTACCTGTGTTTTCTGTTTGGAAAAGTATGTTCATAATTATCAAACTTTCTTTTTAAAAATTTTTTGTAGGAGTTTTTCATCAGTATGTCTGAAACCATTAAATATAATGACGATGATCATAAAACTCTATTTCTGAAAACACTAAATGAACAACGCCTGGAAGGAGAATTTTGTGATATTGCTATTGTGGTTGAAGATGTGAAATTCAGAGCACACAGATGTGTTCTTGCCGCCTGCAGCACCTACTTTAAAAAGCTTTTTAAGAAGCTCGAGGTTGATAGCTCCTCAGTAATAGAAATAGATTTTCTTCGTTCTGATATATTTGAAGAGGTCCTGAACTACATGTATACAGCAAAGATTTCTGTGAAAAAAGAAGATGTTAACTTAATGATGTCATCAGGTCAGATTCTTGGTATCCGATTTTTGGATAAACTCTGTTCTCAAAAGCGTGATGTGTCTAGTCCTGATGAAAATAATGGCCAGTCGAAAAGTAAGTATTGCCTCAAAATAAATCGCCCCATTGGAGATGCTGCTGACACTCAGGATGATGATGTGGAAGAAATTGGAGATCAGGATGATAGTCCATCTGATGACACTGTAGAAGGCACCCCACCGAGTCAGGAGGACGGCAAATCACCTACAACTACGCTCAGGGTTCAGGAAGCAATCTTGAAAGAGCTGGGGAGTGAGGAAGTTCGAAAAGTAAATTGCTACGGCCAGGAAGTAGAATCCATGGAGACCCCAGAATCGAAAGATTTGGGGTCCCAGACCCCCCAAGCCTTAACATTTAATGATGGAATGAGTGAAGTGAAGGATGAACAGACACCAGGCTGGACAACAGCTACCGGTGACATGAAGTTTGAGTATTTACTTTATGGCCACCATCGGGAGCAGATTGCCTGTCAGGCGTGTGGTAAGACATTTTCTGATGAAGGCAGATTGAGGAAGCATGAAAAACTCCACACGGCCGACAGGCCATTTGTTTGCGAAATGTGTACAAAAGGTTTTACTACACAGGCCCACCTGAAGGAACACCTAAAAATCCACACTGGATATAAGCCCTACAGTTGTGACGTGTGTGGAAAATCATTTATTCGCGCTCCAGACCTAAAGAAGCACGAGAGAGTTCACAGTAATGAAAGACCATTTGCATGCCATATGTGTGACAAAGCCTTCAAACACAAGTCCCACCTCAAAGATCATGAGCGAAGACACAGAGGGGAAAAGCCTTTTGTGTGTGGCTCCTGCACCAAGGCATTTGCCAAGGCATCTGATCTGAAAAGGCACGAGAACAATATGCACAGTGAAAGGAAGCAGGTTACACCCAGTGCCATCCAAAGTGAGACAGAACAGTTGCAGGCAGCGGCAATGGCCGCTGAAGCAGAGCAGCAGTTGGAAACAATAGCCTGTAGCTAGGTGATGGGACAGGAACACTCTGCCTGAGCTGCGGAGACTGAGATTGCATTGTTCATAATAAGTGAACACCAGTCCCTGTATTTTTTGTGGAAACTTATGGAGCATTGTACTCACTGGACTTAAGGCAGTGCTTGGTTAGGTATTTTAAAAACTTTTCAAGGAAATGATGTTCCTTGGTTCTCACTGAACAGTTTCACTGACCTGTCTGGTGTCTAGTATTAATGTTGCCAGTAAGTCCCTCCTCCTAAGTCCCTCCTCCTATTTTTTATGATTTTAATTTGAGGACTCCCGTGTCCAGTTCAGAAGTGAGAGACTTCTATTCCATTTTAATTCCTCTCTACACTTGCTGCACTGGTGAGCAAACTGCACAGAGTGATAATTGAGTAAATTGATTTTCCTAATCATAACAATTACATGTGACTTATGGTCAAAACAGCATTTTTAATAACTTAATAAAAGTACTTCATGTAGATGCAGAAAATACTGGTGGGTGGTTGACCACGAACACTGCACAAATATGAAAACAAGGCCTGGAGATGTGGAATGGTCTTAGATTTATATTTGGTTTGCTAATTTTATATCACTGTTTTTCACAGTTTTTGTGGACAAATAATGGTTGCTTTGCTGAAGTGTTTCTTCATCCATTTTTGATTGCCCATACTTACCCCTAAAGATGTGGTAACAAGTCCCGAAGGCTGAGCAAATCCACAGGGATGGTGGTGGTCTTGGGGGCTGAGTTCTTTCATTCCTCACATTTGGGGCTTTGCCACTGAAACAGATGAGGTTTGTGGAGTGGACCAGTGGTGACAGAATTAGAAAAGGGTGAATAGGAACCTGGCTGTTAGAGACAAGGCTTTTCACATTTGCAATAATTCCAAGGTTTCCTAGATCAAAATAATTCTTAATTGATTTTGAAATTGGATTTTTATTTCGGATCAAAATTAGGACTAGAACAGATATGTCTCTTCAGATACATTTGTGTAACTTAACAGAATGTCATCAAGCTTTTGGGCTCTCTGCAGCACATGATTTATCCATAAAGGAGATGCAATATCCTAACTTTAATACATTTACAATCTTTTAAGTGTGTAAATAGTATAGAAGTGTTGGTCTTATGTATTTCAAGTAAAAGTAGACAGCTGCACTATTTTTGCACATTGGATTAAGATAACTTCCATCAGCAAAAAAACATCAGTCTGTTTTTAACCAATATTAAAGATTGTCAGACCAAATGTTTATGTTTTTGAAGTATATTTCATCACTGGTTATATAGTTTTAAGTAGACGTTGATTGCCTTTTCATAGCCGTAAATAGAATTATAAATACTGTTCCAATTTTGGTGTATGAAATGTTTTTAAACCATTTCTTTAGGAATATATTGAATTACCAACAATAGTTTGAATTATGTTCTATAATAAAGCATTAGTCAATTATTTTAAAAATGTACAATTTTAGAAAAATGTTTATTTTTAAAATTTATTTTTGGTTTGCTAGGATTTTTTTTAAAGATACATTAAAGTAATTTCATTTCATAGCTTGTTGCAGTAACACCTATAATTATTGTGGTGGGAGACATTTTGTTTTTTAAATTGGTGTATATGTTATGCTCAAGATTGTAGGTTTTTAAGAAACTTATTTATTGGTAAAATGTTTTATTTAGTTTAAAATTAATTTAACTTCGTTTCTTAAAAATTGTTTATTCTATCCTAAAAGTAGTCCTGTCACTGTTTATATACTATTAGTAGAAGGGGAACTTACTGAGGTTCCTAGGCTGTTTTAACCAAAGCAAAGGAAAACTAATTTAACATCTTGTTGAGAGCCACTTCAACAAACCATTTTTGGGGCTTTCATTTTTGTATATAAAAGAAAATATACTTCTGTCATTCCTGTTTTCATTTTTTCATAGTTACTTTTCACACATCCAGGTTTCTGCTAATACATTTTCTATACTATTGTCATTGTGGTTTAGTTGCAAGTTAAACGTGGTATTAACCCTCATTGAAACCACATCATCACAGAGGTACCCCCACACATACACACACAAAGCTGAATTTCCAGCCCTTTATTTGTATTATGTAAATATTTATCATTTGTCCTATTTTGAACGAGAAATATGTTTGTGTTGTAATTTTTACCACTGGTACTGGGTTCGTGTGTGTGTTAGGGTGTTTGTTTTCTTGGTGGCAGCAAAGTCATGACATGGCAGCTTGCCTATCTCCTGGTCACTGAGAATGCTTCTCACCCAGCTGGCTTTAGTAGTCCCCTGGATGGTGAAGCCACTATGTTAGACAGGTCAAGGGTACCTCCAAACCACAGGGAGTTGATTCTGAAATGTCCTCACACTGAATCTGCTGTGTGAGGGGAAGGAAATTCTAAATGTCAGCATTAGTATATTTTCACTATTTAAAAGTTACCTACTTTTTTCTGTTTGTACAAAGAGAATATCTACAAACTTGATTTTAGCTTTTATGTCAACTTGCTTTGTATAGGCAATGATTGAGGAAGGGAATTTTAAGAAGTCTAAAATTTAGGCCATTTGCTAATTAACTTGAACACAAATTTTAAATTGTTGGAAATTACAGAGGTTGCCATCAAGTAAGCCTGATACTAATAAATTCCACCTATTTTTTTGAAAAAAAAAAAAAGATTGAGATGGAGAATGATGCAAATTTATGTAGTTTCTGATTTAATGGATTATGTTATGTAAGGTTATCTGCAACTCAGTCATTGGTAACCTGGGATTCATTTTCCTGAGTAATGCTGTTAGTGGTGATTAGTTCCCAGAGCAGGTAGAAAAGCCCGTGTATGTGTAACAGATTTAGCATAAGGGTTATAGTCTTGAGTTCTGAGTCCTGGAAGTTAAGGAGCTGAGGCTTCCAGGAAAGAGAATGGAGAACTCTCCCTTTCCTCTGCCATTTACGTTTATCATCTAGCTCCCTTTCTCCATTACCCAAGCCCACCACCTCCTCATAAGCCACAAATGTATAGGAGACAAGTAAAACATGTGGCCAGAGGCAGGGTAACCATTGACAACCATCACAGTGAGAGATGAAGACCTACATTTATTCTGATGCTTCCTTCTGATTCATAACAAATCAATGAGCACTTTGAGTGATGGGGAACTCCCTACCTCCCTGATGTCACACACTCCCAACTTGAGACAGCTCTAATACCCTTGTTCCTTGAATTCTGTCTCCATTTTTGCATATCCTCTTGTAACTGGGAACTTCCTTCACCTTGGAACTGTTCAAAATAAATGTAATCCTGCATCTACTTGACAGCACTTCAGATATGTAAAAATAGCCTGTAGTTTTCATTTATTCAACATATATTGAGCATTGTGTGAGGCCTTGCGCTGGATCCTGGAGCTAGAAAGGCAGAATACATTTGGCCCCATGACTAGCAGAGTGTGCTTCCTTTCCCAGTTTGTTTTACGTATTCTTTTTAAAAATAAGGTTGGCATTTGTCCATCACCTGTTATCCATGATTCCTTAAAGGTCACCATACTGATCTTATCTTAAAAGCCCTGGGTGAAATTTAGCTGCATTGTGACATTTCATCAGTTATGTGATTTCATGATCTCTTTAAGAGAGAATTTCCAATTACAAGTATTCATGTAAATATTTTCACTATAACCAGGGGGAAGTGTGGTTTAGTGGGAAGATTTTGTAGTCAAATTTGGATTGGATCCTGGTTCTGTTTATCAGTTAATATATAAATTTAGGCAAGCTCTTCACTGCCCTGAGTCTTAATGTTATCATTTCTAAAATAGCGATGTGGATTTCTACCTTACGATCTGCTCTGAAGATTAAATGTGATAACCAGTACAAAATATTTGGCCCAGCCCCCATTGCTTTTTAGGTGCACCATAAATGTTCCTTCTTAAATGCTCCTTCCTAAAGAACATTCTCAATAGAGGAGCAGAAGCCAAATTGAAGTTCTCTTTTGATTTTGACATGTCCTTTCTAGTCATCAGCCCTGGGCTGTAGAACTAGACCTCATTTAGTCTTCTTAATTGAAAATATCTACAGAAGCTGTTTATCTTAGCATTTCCATAATCTTAAACCCAGTTGCGGCTTCTCACAAACCGTGCATTCATCTTAGGGGTCTCTGGTTTTGTAATCTCCCATCATTTAAGTAGGGCGTTGGTGTGTAGTCAAATGTAAACACTGGCCTCTGGATGGTTCCTTACTTTTCTTTGGATAGCTGTGACGGCAGAGTCAGAATTGCAATTTTGAGAACTGACTCTTGAATCTCATGTGAAATGCATTTTGGGGGTGTGTTTACATATTTTGCTTTTCTCAAATTGGATATATTTCAGACTACACCCAACCATTCCCTTTCTGGTTGGTATTAATATAAATCCCAGGATAATCTGTTGCTTTCTTCCCAAAGTGTCTTACACTACTACCCAAGAATTCTCATTTTCTTTTTAGTTCTAGAATCTGAATTTGCTGAATCACTTTGCTCTTTGTTGGAGGACATTTCCATTAATCTTACATTAAAATTCTATAGAGTAAGATTAAAGTATATCGGACAACAAATATTTATTGTATGCTTTGTATGTGCCAGGCATTGGATTAGATGTTGGGGCTATAATAGTGAATCAGACTGACAGTATGTATTCCTGCCCTAATGGAGCCTATGCATCCAGGATGGAGTTAAATGGTTACCTTTCCAAGTTTTACAAAATTTTACATAGATTTACAGATAATGGAAAGATATGTGCAAAATGTTTTATTTTTTTTAATTTTTTTTTAGCTGAGCCATCCTGCCACCTGTTGGCAGCTCAGTGGCAACTCAGCTCGGGCCGGGCATCGAACCACTGTTGCTCAGAGCTTGCACTCTTGCGTGAGTTCTTAACCAACTGAGCCACTCGACTGGTCCCAAAATGTTTGGTTTTTTAAATCCGCTGTGGTATGTGTTTTTAATCTAGTTCATGGAACATACTTTAGAAAGGAATAATTTTTAATAACATAGTTATGAAATTTAGCAGTACCAAAAGAAACATTTTCAAGTGACTGTTTTGAATGTCTACTGAGAAAATATATTTGATAAATATTACCATTTCCATAGACTGATTCTCATTTTTCTCTCATTGATACTGAATTTGGAAAGGGGAATATATTGGGTTATCGGAAAAGTCATGATGTATTTTGTCTATGTTTTTCAAAGGTCATTTATGTATACAAAGAATGAAGATCAATCAATGATATATTGCCTGTTTTGTTCGATAACCTTTTGCCATCTTTCAGTGAGCTTCATAATTCCTCGTTCATAGAAGCACCTGTCTTTATTTGCAAAAAAATGAACAAGCTCCTGATTTTACCATGCAAGGAATTTTGAAAAGGCGAGACAAGTGGAAGTCTGATGGCGCAAGGTCAGGTGAGTATGGTGGGCGTGGCAACACATCCCATCCAAGCTCCAGTAATTTTTGACAGGTGATCAAACTGGTGTGTGATCTTTCATTGTTGCGATGGGACACAATTCCTTTACAATTAACAAGCTCTGGACATTTCTGGGTGATGGATTGGTTCAAACTGTCCAATTGCCGACAGTACACATTCAAATTGATTGTTGGGTTCCTTGACAGGAGCTCAAAAAACACAACACCTTCAAAATCTCACCACGCTGAGAGCACAACCTTCCTCTGATGAATGTCTGCTTTTGATGTCGTTTGAGGCGAATCATCATGTCAGGACCAAGACAGTTTGCACACCACATTGTTGTAAACAGTCCACTTTTCATCACCAGTTATCAATTGCTTCAAAAGAGGATCGTTTTCCTCAGGTTCAATGAGCATATTGCAGATGTTTATACACGCTGTCAAATGAACTTCTTTGAGTTTATGCGGAACCCAAATATCGAGCTTGCTTATGTATCCCAGCTTCTTCAGATGGTCGTGAACGCTTGAATGATGGGTGTTCAATGTTTCTGCAATCTCTCGTGATGTGTAACGTGGGTTTGACTCTATCAATGCCTTTATTTTGTCATCAACCTTGGTGGGCCTCCCTGATCGAGGAGCGTCATTGAGATTAAAATCACCAGCACAGAATTTCATTAACCATCGTTGGCACTGATGTTCTTGTAGAGCATTGTCACTGTAAACTTTATGCAACTTTTCACAAACTTGACACGTGTTCTGTTTACGGAAGTAAAACAGTAAAATATGGCAAAAATGCACAGTTTGGTCTTCCATCTTCAACTTGTTATAAAATCTCCAAAACTCAACCAAATTGCTCACATTTTTTTTAGAGTGAAGCTAGAACTGTCAGCTGTCAAATGACATAGCAAAAACATAGATGCAAATGACTCTAGTACTTCCAAAAATAAACCAGTGCCATCTGTCACAAACATGCGTCATGACTTTTCTGACAACCCAATAACATGAGACTGGTTTATTTTTTTTAAATAACAGACCGTGGCATCAAGAAAGGATACTGATGCAAAGAATATGAAGAGTAAAAGAGCAATAACCTGGGCTTCCAGCAGCTTTAAATGAGGTATATTAATAACTCACAAGATTCTAAGGAAGGGAACTCCATGAGCAATACAGGGTATGCTCAGCAGGAGCTCCAAAATGACAATCGAGAGTCCTGAGAGCCCAAAAGCCTAGCGTCTATTGAATATTTACCAGGTATCAGGCCCTGTATACAATCTGTATGTATGCTTTGGGACAACTGAGACATACCTTAATACTGATCAAGACACGAAGATTCAAAGAAGTTAAAAGTCCTGCTAGTGTCAAGTTTTTTTCAGAGCCAGGATAGAACAGGTCCATCTGCCTTCAGATCTTATGCCTTTAGTTACCATGTCATATGCCCTCAAATGGAAAGGAGCAACTTGGGCCCTGCACACACCTTTACCAACTAACAGTCCACTG